GCTTTACCAGCCAACAATTGACATATTAGAGATTTTTTTATTTTAATTTTTTTTTATTGGCAAAGGCACGTTAAAAAAAAACATGCAATTGTCGCTTTTTCATGTTAGGGTTTTAAAACCTGCCCAACTTATTGAAATAACAAATGATCTAAACAAGAAAATATCATGGATACTCTAGATTGAGTATTACCTATGACGGAGAAACTTAGTAGTTGCTGAAAAAAATGGTCCAAACCAAGAAGGGGGGATATTGCAGCTCTCCCACAATGTATTACAGCTCTCCCACAGCTCGCTAGAATGAACGAAGGTCACCATAATGACGGAATATGGATGGTCCCAAAATATTTCAATGTTTGATGGTTGGTATTCACAATAAACTCCCTCTAAATTAAATAATGTTGTCAGTGTTATAAAGCTCTGACAACTACATAGAACTTCTGGTCATAGGTAGACCATTTCTGTCTCGCCACGCTAAGTTTCTCATTGAAAAGGCCACGGGTCTTCCTTCCGGTGACAAAACCACTCCAATTCTAGTACAAGAGACATCACAATCAACCTCAAACAACTTCTCAAAGCTAGGTAATGCTAATACAGGAGCTTTAGTGAGCTTCTCCTTAAGGAGCTAAAAACTCCTGGATGCTCCTTCTGTCCAGTGTAACTGCTTCTGCTTAAGGCAGTCAGTAAGTGATGCTGCAATAGTACTGAAATTTCTCACAAACTTCCTGTAGAAGTTGGCAAGGCCATGAAAGTTGTGAGCTCACCAATTGTCCGTGGTGTAGGCCACTCCTAAATAGCTCGAATCTTCTTGTCATCCACTGAGATACTCATAGGACTGGCCACATAGCCCAAGAACACCAAGCTATCGGTTATGACACTGCACTTCTTAAAGTTCACAAACAGGCCATTCTCCCTCAAAGCCACAAAAACTGTAATCAAGTGTTGTAAATAGGCAATATCATTGTGACTATAAATCAGAATATTAAAATATGCAACCACGAACTTTCCAATGAAAAGCTTGAGCAATTGGGTCATAACCCTCAAGAAGATACTAAGGGCATTAGGCAACCCAATGGGCATAACCAAACCACTCGTACAACCCCACCTTCGTTTTGAAGACAGCATTCCACTCATCACCTAGACCAAGGATTAAAATTTCGTTTCGAAACAGCCAAAACGTTTCCATTTTCGAGGATTAAAATAGAGTGGAAAACTACTCTTCAAAAGCAAGCCCAAAAAATGATCATTTTGAAAGGTCCTACTTCTTTCTTGACTCATTTAAACCTTTTCGCACGATTTGGAGAGCACTGAATTAAAATGAGACGTTCACCACCACATCATTACGTGCACGAAAAGCTCGCCTAAAACAAATCAATGATGGAATCAAATTCTAATATTTTTAAGTGTTTCAAATTGTTTCATAATATTTTGACGCATTTACATAATTGTGTTTAGAATGTTTCAAAGTATTTCAAGATATTTTTGTATATTTCGATCAATATTTTAAAAAAATAATTCTCAAATTTTTTTATTTATTTTTATTCTATTTTTGAAACAGGTCAAAATATTTTCAAAATGGATCGAACCATTTCCGTTTCCTTGGTGATCAAACAATACGTAAAAACAAAATTTTGATCCTTAACTTAGACAAATACGAATTGGATGACACCCGCTTTTTAAATCAACCTTAGATTTTTTCACAGATTTCTTATTAATTGTCAATTCTTCTTGGAAGTGAGTAGAGCAAGAATAGCAAATGGGCTCATACTCATCTGAATTTGTCCCTTTCGGAGTAGTTTCTCAACTTAACCTTGCAATATCTCGAACTCCTTAGGACTTGGCCTATAATGCAGTAGGTTTGGAAGACTAGTCCTGGGCACCAAGTCAATATGGAGTTGAATGTCCCTCAAAGGGGATAAACCATCTGGTAACTCCTCCTACATAATCCCCAGAAACTCATATAGCAATGACCTCAACACATCACCCTTCACCACAAGGGCATACACTTCCCCATTATCCTTTATATCCTCATCAATGGCAGGAACAATAAGAAAGAGGTCATCCTTAGCCTAGGATACTCCAAGACGACTCTCTCTTATTGTAAGGATAAAGACAATCATAACACCATCTTTGTAGAAAGTGTAAGTATTATCTTTGTCTCTACGGACAATATTCATATCATACTGTCATTGCCTCCCCCGCATCCATATCCACAATATCGAACATAATATCATCTTTATACTTGCCAATAGAAAATTGGATACGACACTACTCTGTTATCTTAGCATTGCCGATGTCCCTGATCCATCCAATAGTAGAGGAAGAATGGTTTTTCTCACTCCGTAACTACAACTTGTTGACCACCTACTGGGATACAATATTCTCGATGTTACCACCATCAATAATCAACTGACAAACTCGATCTTATGAATATACATTAGTTGAAGAACAACGAAAGAAATTCTCTCATCACCATAGGTCCATGCTCTTATCCTCCTCCTCGACAACCTCATCCTCCACCTGGTAGCTCTCCTCAACCTCTTCAACATCAACCAAATTGAATGCACCCTCTTTGGGCACTGAGTAGAACGAGGTCATGATTAATTGCACCGGTAGCACTTATCTCCTCCAATTCTGGAGTAAGGATTCTTCGGTGCTTCGTTGACCACCGGGACAAAACACCAACCCGAGGCTCCTGCCCATGAAGATACTTGTTATTGTATTCTCGACTTGGAACTGTAGAAAGATTCAGAGTACTCATAATCTGCTTACCTCGATTCACTACAAGTTGTGATGAATCAAAGGACTCCGATTCTACACCCAAGTCCTCACCCAGTCTAATTGGGTTTCCATTCGCACAACTATGTGAATGGCTTAGATCAAAGAATACAAGGTCTGCAGTGAAACCCTGTCTTGAATAACAAAACGCATGCCTCCGATGAACCAAACATATTTCTAGGACTTAGTTTCATTTAGATATTGTGCATAGAAAGTCGATAGAACTCCTCTGTGTATGATTAAACAAATCGGTTGTCCTTTTTGCAATCTTGATATTATAGAAACAAAACATGCTCATAATCTGGGGTAAAAACCACAACCTCAACAAAAACTTCATTTTGAGTCTAGCATAAATCGAATATTTGCCATCTTTGGTACGGGCAAGCTGAATCTGTTCGCACCCGGCAGAAGCCTCTCCTTTCAACTTGTAAGCCACCAGTTTCACCTTTTTCTCATCCAAAAAGTCCATATAGTCGAAGAATGTCTCCACTTCAACCAACCAGTCACGAAAATCTTTAATATGAAGATGACTATTAAAACTTGGTCAACTTTTGTATGAAAATCTCTAGACTCACGGTCAAGATTTCTATAGCCGGCAATGTTACCAAACAAGTCCTCTTCATCATCATTGTTATAATCTACAATAAATGTTGCATAAATAGGTACACCATGAGCATTCTGGAAGACGATATCGAATGGGTTGAACACGAGCTCTATCGTTATTATGTACCCTATCTCAATTGAGATGAGAAACCATATCCTACTGCTTTCACACGGCCAGTTGGGTATCCTGCCGGGTACATTGCTCCGGTCGTTGCTAAAAATCCAAGAATTCAATTCTCTTTAAGAGCCTTTTCCATATGATCACCGTCATAAGGAAAATTGTCACCACTTTGTTGATTAGTCATCATATTAGGTCAATCAAGGCTCTAATATCAATTGACACAACGATAAACAAGAAACACAAGGAAAGCACCTTTTTCAAGTGCTAACGAATATATATTCTGAATCCATAGAAAAAAATGAGAGAAGAACTCTTGAGAAATGTTATTGATTTCAAACTAGGATGCTTCAAATGGTTAAGCAAATGCCCTTTATATAGGATCATGAAAGGCTCCTAGTATCTTCCACCTATCTCATTTAATGCATCCTCAACTACTTACATTAATACTTTTATCATCCTCCAACTACTTAATTTAAAACATTTTCAAACATGTATATCCATTCTCAACTAAACTACCTACATTAACACCTTTGCTATCATCCAACCACTAACATTTAATATATTTCTATAAAGTTCTAGAAATTGGGCTAAAGTTGGATATCAATCTAAGGCTTATTAATTTTTGGGCATATTATAATATTGGATCATTTTCAAGATGGATCTAGACATGCATCATGTTCTACATCAAAAAGCCCATTTCCGCATCAGATGCCACCATGCCAACAACCTCCCTCTGCTGATTAAGTCTCTCACCTCGAGTATCATTAACACATCAAATCAAGTGACCGTGACCTTCTAGCGAGCTAATTTGCTTGTCACCCGACCATGGTTATTATGTTCCTCCGATTTGGGCTTGCTCTCCATTGAAATAGTACGTGCAGACAAATCTCCATTTTTCCTTCATGAGGAACTACCAACATCTTCGCATCAGCATCCTCAAGCGCACTTGAATCATTTTTAGAGCATGACGACACAATAGTAGAAATTTCCCCTTCTTCATAATCCGGGAAAGTGAAATCATTCAACTCATCCAAATTGCAGGAACATAAAAGAAGCCATTATCAAGATCCTCCATCCTTCCTTGATTTCTGAAAAACCACAAAAACATCTTCCATAAATTTTCTTCTTTCATAGATAAAATCGAATTCATCTTGCAAGCCATCACTCAAACTGACTTGAAGCAATGGCTTTAGTTTTTCTCCATCCGAAACTCGGATTCGAAGTCACAACAACCGACCTCTCTTTTTTTCTCTCTCAACTTCCCTGAAGAATGAGCCCTAGAGATAGACAAGAGTAAATCACCCAGTTTATTAGAAAATAAAGGATCCACAGACTTCAGGACTTGACCCTCTTCGTTTTAGAAGGGAACCTGACTCTTTTCAACCTGTCGTTTTGTTTGACTTTAGGATAAACCCACTATCAGTCAAACACATCTTGTTGGCCTCAGAAAACTCTGGACCACTGTCTACACCCAAAGAAACCGGTTACTTCCAGTATTTTGCTACCTAATTGCATTTAAAGCTTCATTATCCAGCAAAATCCTAACTTCATATTTTGTATTTACAGTATGATTCCTCAAATCCTGATTAGCAGCTGCATTAACTGCAAAGTCACCCTTATTATTTTGAATAAACCCATCACAGACCTGCCCTATAAATTCAAACAAAACATTCAACAACGACGACCCACATCCGATACTATCTTGATCTCCCATCAATCTAAGAACACAACAGCAACACACCTAGAAAAACGACATATCAAGTATAAGAAAGGCATCACCTATTAGCCAACTACATTATCAGAATCTTAACAGCCTTGGCAAGTGAAGGTAGCCTGAACTGCAGCAATGAGTCAAGTAAACCTGACACCCAGACCAAGCTGAAACCTTCTGGCTCTCGCACACCACTTCTCCGCAGTTTCCCCAGAAGCCACAAGTCCATCAAATCGACCCTCAAAACATGGTTTTGTGGAAAACTCAATGCACGCCTCCATCATCTTCCAAAACTTCAAACACCATCCCACCCCTGAATGGCTGATCTTGTACTCTCTGATGAGAGAGAGTTTCGGCAGCATAGTCGCCTCCCAATATAGGGCCTCTTCAACATACTCTACAAGGCAGTGAGACTTTCAAAGAAGTCCCAGCTTATGATGTGATAAGAATGTTGTGAGAATCATTCCTGCCTAGGCAATGACAATATGTAGTCATATACCAATTTAATGTTGTGAACCTGCGAAATTAGACATCTGCTATAGATGCAACCAAGGAAGCTCAGAAAGAACTTCAACCAAACTCAATTCCATTGAGAAGTACTCAGAGGTCAGCCCATCAGAAAAGTAGTACATTAGCATGATTGGAACTTTAATGTCGCAAAAGGCTACATATTTCAGATAATTGGAGCACCTAACCTTCACTGGAATACTTCTTTCTTCAACGACAACTGCTTCAGAGATTTCATCTGGTTGGCTACAATCCTGTGTGTTGCTATCATGTTCATGTTCAGGATTAGACTCTCCTGTTATCATTTCAGCACAATCTTCATTGCAATACACCAAATCTCCCAAAACAACTTGGTCAGTTCCTACATCATGGTTGAAGGGGAAAAAGAATAGTGTGGTCAATCTCAGGTAGCTGGGTTAAGGTCAATGATGATGTCAAATATGACCACACATTACCTACAATACTCATACAATAAATCAGAAAAGGTCTGATCAAACCTGGGATAACCACATACCATGCTTTTGCACCCTCATACTGGCTGCATGGTTCCACAAGTAGCTCTGATAACTATGTACATACCTGCAGAGTTCAAGAGTCTTTAACATTATATTATTTTAAAAAATAAAGTCCAAAAATTACAAAGTCACAACAACAATTTTTCTTTTTGTTATATTTGCTGAACAAGTTGCACAAAACAATAATACTTTTTATTATTCTCTTCTCTCTTTCTAGTTTTTATTTTTCTTTAAACAATTCTTTTACACATATCAGACGGATATTCACGTAAACATTTGTTTTTACTAGTTGATGCACGCATACGTTATACATAGATGAATTTGAGCTATAGCTTTAGTTTGTTCATATTTAACCATTTGCTAATAAGCCTCAATATTCCAAAACCCATTACTCAAGAAGACTCATTTTGCTAGAACCTAAAAGATTTTCATAACCATAACACTGAAGACATACTAAAAATCAATAACTTGTATTTAAAATTTTTGAAAATCTGAATATCTAAGCCTGGTATAATGTTTGCTTGATAGTGGTTAGATTGAGTTTACCACTTTAGAAATTCAATGTTAAAAAAGAATGAGATAAACAATTAGAAAAATTTTAATAACCTAAGGTGAAGATAGAGTAAGAAATTTGTATGCAACCAATAACCTATGACATATGCATGCTAAAGATCAAATAGGAGGGCTGGAATTTTCGTTCTAATAGGATATTGAAAGAATACAAAAATGGGCAAAGAATTAAAGAATAATTTGAGAAGACAAACATAAGATCAAAAGATATGTTAGGATAGAATTGACTTTATAATATTAATTAAAAAGAAAAAAGAAAATCAATATTTTTTTCATTTTGCTGACATTTATAAGTAATAATATAAATAGATTAGAGATATAAACATATGGGTTCATGCGCGTGTGCGTATGGTGTATATGATTTGAAACGGTTATCCATGCATCTCACTTAAGATCTTAGCTTTCCTTGCTTCTTCAATAGTTCAGCACGTCGAGTTTGTGTCAAATTCACAGTTTAGTCTCATTTGCAACGTTTATTTGCAGGCAATGCCAGCAATCAAGTTTTCTCTTTAGTGAAAGATTTATATACTGTCAAGTGAATGGGGAAAATAATTGTCCAAGAAGGGCCAATGCTGTATCATGTCGCAGATCAGCATTGATATATCCAAAAAAATGTGGGTCGGCTTTGATTCAGAGTGCAACATCTGCAACAAACTATAGAACTCTCTACAAAAGGTAGATTCAGTATTAATCTCCTCCACTGGTTAGATCAATTAGTCAGACAAATATTAGGTGACAGCATCTCTAATCTCTTTCACTTGACGAAAAAGTGAACTTTTGACAAATGTAACATAACGTGGCAAATCCAGAATGGCAAAAATAAGATGTCTGCTTCCACATATAATGCAGTGATCATGATGAAATTGTTTTTCCAATACATATACTGTGATGAATTTTTGTTCCCTTCAACCAATAACAAAAGACTTACACAGCTTCTACAAATGACACCAAGTCAAAACTCAATGCAGTATAAGAATAGCGTCGGGCTGATGTATGTAATAATATTGACAAATAACTGGCAATAAAGGAAAGCATTAATCTGTCAGCAGCTAGGACGGGAAGACATTTGGGGTCACCCACCTTGAGGTCCCAATATGCCTCTCACAGAAGAACCCTCGTTTTTTTTAATAATCTTCACACTGCAACTGAGCGTGTTTCTTATGTTGTAAGGTCAAAAGCCTCAAAACAAAATACAACCACGACAAACCAAAAATCAAGAGATAAAAATCTAGGGTATGTTTGGATTGTATCTCCAAAACAGGTTTTTTGTTTTGTGATACAAAAAAAAAAGTGAAAACTTGCTTGGAACTTTGGATAGACTATTTTTCAGAATAGCTTCTAATAAAATTGGAGAACAAAGGGTTGATTTTAGGAAATACCCAAAAGATGTTCTGGGCAGTTTTGGAGAGGAAACACGGGGAATAATGAAAACAAGGAGAACAAGTTTACTGTACACTTAAACCTAGGTATAAAAGGCACTCTTTCTCTTTTTTTCTCTCTCCCCAACACTCTCCACTTCAGTGTCTCTTATCCAGCGAAAGGATCCAATGGAAGTGAGAGTGAGCTTCAGCCCACTCATCCCTGGCGAATGCAGTTCTTCTTCTGCGGCGTCAGCAAGATCCATCTTCTCTGGCCGCTTCAAGGTGTCATCTCAGAAAACTGGGAGGAGTTATCAGAGATTTCTCCTATGAGATGAAAGTCACCCACAAATCTGTCTTTATAGTGTGATTTCTATGTTAGATCTGGGTGTTTTTTTGCTTGTTTTTTCCTAGATTTGTTATGGATTAGCTTTATTCAGATTTGATTATGATTTTTCCACTTTACCTTTGAATATATATCAGATCTGGTCTATTTGTGTTAGATCCGAACATATTTAAAAGTGTTTGTTCATTTTTGCATACCCTCTGACCAGGTATTATCTTTTGTTATCTCTCCCAAATCTTCTATATATTGCTTGAAAATTAGGATGGTTCTACACTACTTAATCACTCGCTTAGTCTATCTTTTAAACACATTTCAATCAAAATTTGTGGCCATCTTTAGAAAATGATACCCTTCAATTAGCTTTATGAGTTTTGACAACCATCATGAGTCAAACTTTTCCATTGTCCAGATACGTGCATATGAATTCATAGTCAATCTTCACAAAGTTTTTTGGCTTTAAATTAAGAATTTAGTCAACCAGTTTGCTAAGCAGGATTGAGCCACTAAATATCCTTTTAATTTTAGCCCTTCATTTGATACATTGTTTTTTAATTATGTGCTAATTATCCCTTTTTCTTGTTTCCTACCTGAACCATATTGTGTTATTGTGGAGTAAAAGTTATTATGGAGCAAACTGAAGTGGACATGTTAGCAACACAATACTACCTCCCTGCTAAGGGATTCAATTGCTAGGAATATGTGGGATGCAGTTTCTCGCGGTGGTTGAGCTTATGCATGATAACATGTAGAAATTAGTGCAAGTAGGATAATGAAAGACTCTTCTTATGTAAGAACTATGGTCTGTATTATATTAGAATTTGTATTATGATATTGTGTACAACTGGGTTTTATTTACTATTGGATGCTTTTATGTTAATTTCACCAAGTTTGACATGAAAACTTATGAAACAGTTAATCCAAACATCTCATATTTTCATTGTTTTTGGATTACTGTCCAAACAGGTTTTACTATGTTCTATTTCGTAGAACGGTTTTAAGAATCACATAACCAAACAAGTTTTGCAACACAAAAACACATTTTTTTAAAATTCTTCTCAAAAACATGTTTTCAAATACTATTTTCGGATATACAATCCAAACAGCACCCTAAATTTAAAAAGTACAGCCAACAAAAGCTTTTATATTTATCAGAGAGCTGACATGGAGAGAAAGTGGCAAATAACTAAAAAATACTAAAAGCTAGAAAAATCTTATCTAATATTACTACTAGGAAGATTAATTCTCAACTTATAAAAGTAACACAATGGTCAAGATTGATCCAATTTTCATCTACTTTAATCCAATGGTATAAAATTCATCTTAAAAAAATTTCCACGTTTAAAAAAATCATCTTTTTTGCACAGCTACCGATGTCAGACAAGTCAACCAACACACTCCCCATTAATTCACACTATCTCTCTCCTACCTCTCTTAGATTCTCTCCGTTCATTTTAATTTGAAATTGCGCAATTAAAGAAAACAGAAGAAAAATAAATTCCTATTTAAATTGTAAATATTATAGGATCAATGTTCAATTCTTGGTATTACGGAGTGATTTCGGACACAGCATTATTGCTAGTTAACTAATATTGCACTTTGTACAATCCAAGGACTTTGGGACTACCAAAAAAGGAAGTTACATGGCTTCAACTACCAGTAATGCATGCCTTCTGTGGCTAATCCAAGTGAGTAGGATTCTCACTCAAGGTTTAGTGGTGGGGTATGCAATGGAAGTTGGAAACAGCTGTCATTGCATCGGTGAACATTGAAAATTGAGGTGTACAGGCCCAAAGACAAAAAACGATGTAATTCAAGGTAGTGTATTAGAAATTAACGACATAGTCAATAACTTAAATCATTTTTTCAGGTCTAACAGTAAACAGTACTTCAACATCTCACCCAATTACAAAAAATCCACACGCAGTCCACGCATACAAACAAGCTAATGAGAACTGATGTACGGTAATAATGAAGAATATACACGCAGAAAGATGCACTTCAAATTCACAAAACAGAGATAAAGATACTCCTCCTAGAGTGCTTGCTTACATCATTCTAAGAGTCCTCGGTATAGCCTTCAAAGCCTGTAAATAGTTCCCAGGACTTCTCTTCAAACACTGCAGCTGGATCAGATTAAAAAGATAATGTTAGTCATAGAACACAAGAAAACAAACTCTCTTCAACAATCTCAGTTCGTAACGATTGACAGTAAACACCAACATCCAACCAAAATAGTAATTACAACCAACAGGGCCATAAAATGATATATGCAGAAGCAATTATTATTGAAGTGGAGAGGAAAATACCACCTTGAGAGATAATAGAGGAATTCAGCATCACTGGATGCTATACTACCCATTGAGAAGTCAAGGAACAATTGTCAACAGTAAACCCAAGTGGACCTAGAGAGGGAATGAATAGGTCTAATGCGGAAACAATTACCAATTGAAAACTCTTTGAACTAATTCCAAATTCAACCAATCATTAATAACAAACTTCACAAATAAATCCAATCATATGACAATCAAAAGGATAGTTTAATGCACCTATGATCAATTTACTATAATATATTGATCTAGTGTGTTTGAATCAATCTATCAATCAATTGCCCTAACAAGGCACACAATCTATACATGGAAACCCTCACGTAAAGAATCACGGTAGCTAGTCTAGCCTAAACCCTCCACTATTAAAATCAAAAGTACAAATGCAAATACTTACGATCCCTCTAGCCACACTAGATGTAAGCTATTCTCTTGTCTCATATTCTTCCCGACGAATTCCTCTCACCATTTCATCTCATAAAACACCGGCTCCTTCCGGTATGGGTTCAAATCACACTCCCCAAGAACACTGTTAACTTGTCTTTTACGAGACCTAGTCTTCCTCCTCGGAAATCAAGCAAAACTCAAACAATTTCATTTTAGAGAAACAAACTACTGTGAGACTTTCGGACTATATTCTCTTAAGAATCCTCACGGGTTTAGGTATGGAATCAACAAGATGAAAAACAACCTAAACGACTTTAAAATCAAAACACACAAGGAGAGCAAATAGGATTTTTATGAAAAAACTTTCAAGGTCTCAACTATGTGTAATCTCTATGTAAACAATCTGAAAAACTCTTCAAAAACCTCTCAAAATCTAGGGTTTAGTTTAAATAGGCAATGCAAATCAGACCTGAGTTTGGAAAGAGTTTTACTGAATATTGTTAACTCCGTATTATGAAGCGCCGTAGTTGCTCGAGCGCATCAGGATTTTTTAGATCTCAACCCCAAGGATTTCTGTGTTTGTTTTCTCTCCAATAGTTAGCTCTTTTTCTTTTGTTTTCCTTTTTTTTTTTTGGATGTTATTTTGTGGATTGGGGGGCATAAAGAACTTTTGGATTAGCCAACTTCAACAAAGCAATATCACCTTATTGGTTAATTTACAATGAAATATGCAAAACTTGCATTGATATCTACAATTTTCAAAAAAATTTACAGCTACATAAGAATGTCATTGAGCTAACCACAGTCCAAGAGGAGCAATTCAAAGTTGCATGTTTCTCCGAGTTTCGGATAGCATTCTACTTCAGCCTATGGATTATGTTAGTTCTTCAAAAACATCCTCATACTCAAAACTATCTATCTATGTACCCTATGTGCTCTGGTTTCACCCATTGATAAAATAGTGAATGTGTTCATCCATATTAGTACTCCCAAACATTTTGCCACTGACATAGGGAGGGGTGCCACCAACTTCAATGGGACTTTCTGCGGGAAGGCTCTAGGTAAGACTGTAAGAGGTTAAATATCATCTGGTCAATTGGAAGTGATTTGCTCTCCTATTCATCGAGGGTGGAGGTAAAATGACTGGAGGCTGGCTATGAAGATATGTGGTCAAGAAAGGTACCCTCCTCCCTTGAGAGGAGAAAAGAAGGAGAAGAAAGAAGCATGGACACGGATACAAAATGACACGGACAAGTCAAAACGAAATTTTTCAAAGAAGTAGAACACAAACACGAAGGGGTTCTCGAAAATTTTTTAAAAAATCCAAAAACGTGAACCAGTGTATCAGCCACGTGTCCCAAGCATGTCGGCTGAGTGTCCCAGAGTGTTGGCTGCATGTCCCCAACTCGTCCAAAACGTGTCCCAAAAAAATTTAACAACAAAAAAATCAGACACTCATTTTAGCATGTCTAAGTGTGTACATGTCCCAGACGTGTCCAACACCGACATTCTGGCCTAAATGCAGTGTTTGTGCTCCCTAGGAGAAGAATGGTGGATAATAAACATGGAGTGAGGAGCAGGGTGGTCTACAAAGAAAGTCCAGTTGGCATACCAAGTGAATGTGGTGAGATTTTGGGGAAGCAATCCATGCGGATGTTTTGAAATATTCCAATGCAATAAACTAAGTGATACTAAAACGGATTTGTCTTGCGCCATACACATTAATAAGAATAGCACTGCTGTGCACTCATCTACTAAACCCAGCCCTAGAAATGGCTAGCTTTTAGAAAGAAAAAAAAAAAGAACAACGATCAATGCTTATACAACTCAACATGAAGATTTGACTCTAGGGTGGCTAATCTTCCTTCTACCTGAAGGTAGCAATTCATGGAAAGGTGGGCTTGGACTGTGAGACCTGCTAACCTGATGAAAGGCACCGAAGCAATTGTGGTTCAGGATACATGTTGCTCCCATCACTGGATGATTTTTCCACATAAAGGTAAAAGAGCACAGAAGGATAGAAGCTGTTTTTAAAATGTGACGAGTCTAAGAGCATTTGTGGAGCAAATATGTATGCACTGAGTAGGAATATGTTGTTAGTTAGTCATAAAGCTTAGCAAAGCTTTTTATAAACAAAAAAATACCTGCTACAATTACAAAATACAGAAATATTCATGATATAGTGTCTTTTGGGCCTCACTTTTGACTCTCATAATCCTTCAAGTCCTTCACCTTGGAAGCCTGTTAATTTCCAAAAATCTGGGAAAACAGTGAATCGGCCCCCAACATTGTCAAGTCTGCAATCAGATGAGATCAAACAAGCGGATTGAAGCTGATTTTTCTCTAATCTCTCCAGTATATTGCAAATATTTGGTATCTCTATGTCAAATTATCGGATCCAAGTCCATGAGTGGGGTCATTTTGTACGACTCATGAGAAGCTTGGCAAAATATATTGTCCTCTACTGGTTTTAGGGTAGGTAGTCTAATTGGGTAAAACCTCCTGTTACAATTTGACAGGTTTCTTCGGGTCAGGGATCCGGACTTTTAATCTGTGTTTCATATTGTTTGAAAGGGACAAATTCTTCACTCAAAATTAACCATATGACATAAGATCTGGTTGTTACTTCACAGCTGTGTGTATTCAATGTACATTAGCACTTGCACGCTCCTTGCAGACCAGAAACAAACAAAATACCCAGACATGTGTGCGCGCATGCAAGAAGTTAGGAATTGACTTCTGGAGTGAGAAAGAATCTCTAAGTAAGAATTAAAATTAGGAAAGCTTCGTTTAAACTTACTATAGCCCGTTCAGCAACCAGATTGCGAGGTAATTGCCTCAGGGTCCCTTCAATATCACCACATTCTTTATAATATTCACGTACCCTACTTATGGCATCCTTTTGTATCCAATATCTGAGTTAAGAATATCAAATTTCATCTTTCTATTGATGTATCAAATTGCATGCAACAGACCATTCTGGGTAGGAAATTTCCCACTCCAATTAGAAATACTCAAAAGTATATGAAAGATTCTCATCACATAATACTGATATAATAAAAGGATATCCCCTTCTCTTGGATCAAGAATCATGCTCACTGCATCTTTCCACTCCCCTCTTAGTAATGCGGCTCCAATGAGATGAGTTGGCACTGAACCGCTTCCAAATCGCTGCATCCATTTGCAAGACAGTCAACAATTGAATTCTAATAAACAAATAAAAAAGAGCTGACTCCAATATCACAAGAAACTATTTTTATCCATATTCTGGAAAATCAAATTACGTAGACTATTTTTGTCCATATTCTGGAAAATCAAATTACGTAGCTTTACTTGAAAACCTGTAATATTTTATTGCTACCTAAAATATACCAAATACATTATTGAATGTATCAGTGTGTTGTCACATGCAGCAGAAAACACAATTTAAAAGAAACAAGTCAAGAGCTCAATGTACTACAAAGAGTCCCCCCCCCCCCGGTGTGTCTCAGTTTTCCTGAGGGTTGTTCCCAACATATCTGAACACCTATTGTTTCATTTACCACATATCGACAGAATAAGGGATCCAGTCACTGTTCAATTTTTTACAAAATTTCTCCTTCATGGCATATATTTCATAGCCACACCCCCAAGCTCCACCCAGAAGGAGAAGAGAGAAAACAGAAAATTATAACCCACGATTGAAAATTAATCTAGTCTAGTAAGTACATGGTCAAAATTTGAATTCCCTTCCCTAGAACATGCTTTCAGGCAGATGGAGCGGATTTCACAAACTTAATGAACACTAAGTACAAGTATTCTAGGCCAGAGGTCTACTTGACTAAGCTGCTCGAACCATCCAATTTAAATTATCAGTGACCTTGCATATACTTTTGAAAGCTTATAATTTATAAAGCATAACACATGACACGTGCCCGAATATCCATCAATCTAATGCATCAATAGGTGTTGCTCCCCTGATTCTTATTCCATAACGAATGCTTTTCACAAACCACTACATTTGAAAGCGACTGTGCCAGATCAAGAATTACGTTCTACAAAAAAGCTCTACCCTAGTTGGCAAAAGGCCTGTCTATAGGAGAGGAGTGGATTATTCAATTTCTCGCAAAAGTTCAAGTAACCCACAAGTAGAGCAGGGAATAAGCATATTAACCTAAAAAAGGGAAAAAAAAATAGAATGTACATACTTGTAAACCAAAGTAGTTAATGAATCCATGTTTTCCTAAGGCATCTGCAGATGCTTTTATTACATCTTCAGCATCTGCAACAACCCCCCTACAAAGATACGCAATCCCAGGAAGTAAGAACTAGGAAGTCAAACATTAGAGAGTCGTGGGAGTAATATTGCTAATTAAAAACAAAATAAGCCATATTTATGGAAAAGCTCTTACCTTAATGTAATTGTGAATCGGTTTCCATGAAGCTGCCCAAGAAGAAGTCCTTCATTGACATGGCTGCAAAACAATGCTCTTATAGCATCTGTAAGCTTCATAACGTTTGACGGCAGGTAAACTGTAGATGGATTATCTTACCAAAAGTCACCAACTTTTATACCAATCAACCTCTCGTTAAGAGATGCTAATCTACCTGCTCGCTGCTTGAAAACAGTTACCTGTTATGTGATGTCAAAAGCAAAGTGCACCACGTGTCACCAACTTCGGATCACTCGCGATATGAAGAAAAGTTAAGCAAAAAATAAAATCAGACTCCTTAGACTTGTGATCCTTCCCATATGGAGGACATAGATCAAGAGATCCCTGCCTCCATTCTAAGAATTCTGGCATTCAGTTGTATTCCTGTTCCTCACAACAATTGTGAAAAGTAAGAATATCATACAGCACAACAAAGAGAGCCTTAAAGCTATTCCTACAACGATGCTACGACTGTAAACTGGACTGAGTGGCTCAAGTTTGACTCACAAAAATTGTCAAGCTCATTCGTTAAGCTAAAAGAGTCAAGATCAGGGAACGGTCAATTTTTTCTCTTTTTATCCACATAAGTAAGCACAAGTCAAAGATCTAAGCTCGATTGCTCGAGGGATAAATTGAGGTCGATTGTGTTTTGTGGTTAATGCGAAAGGGAGCTTTGCTATAGTGTTAACATTAAAGGCAAAGGAGAAATAAGCTTTAGGACCTAGTTTGTTTTTAGGACAAGAAACAAACTTACTAACAAAGTGAAAATACAAAAATGGTGGACCAGCCATCCAAACAACCAATTGAAAAATATAACCGTGACCAACCAACACAGTTCATCACAATACACAACATCATTCCAACTATGATTGATGAAAATAAACAAACATCCCAAAATCTATTTATGATTGTGCCCATAAAGAAGCCAAGAACTTTTCTCTATCCCAAAGAAAATCCACAGATTCATCGTTGCCTTCAAAAATCATGTGAATCCTTTCCAACCAAACCACCCACGAAACAGCCATAATCAATAATTGAAGCCCTTTTATTCTTCCTACTACGTCCAAAATCCACTAAAAATAGCAACACGCAGCTACAGGGTGAAACCCATGTATTGAAAACTCCTTGACTTGATTGGTAGATAAAGCTGGAAAATAACAGTTGCATCCTTTTAAATTTAAGTCTTAAAGTCTCTGCCTATCAGTAAGTAAGTAATGCATTTCTCTAAGTAAGTAAGTAAGGTCGAATTAGAAATGCATTTCTCTCTAGGTTTTTAACCAACTGCCATGACTTTTACTTTCTCTAACAACTAAACAAAAAACACGGCCCAATGCACGAGGTTCGTGCCACTGCAGGATCCGAGAAGGCTTACACCCCACATGGTGAGAGGTTGTTTCCGCGAGTCAAACCATTGACGCGTAGGTTACAGTGGAGCCACCTTATCCCAGTGCCAACAATTAAATGATGGACAAAGACTGTAACAATAAAATGTGGAATTAAATTGCAACACCATTATGTAACCACGAATTATAGTTTGCCACCTCATACATTGAACAAAGTTATTTGCAACCATCAAGCCATTTAGAGGAGCTAAGATGTTCTTCCATAGCCAAGTCTAGCTTTTTTCTCAAGTTCAAGCAAGCTAAATTTGAGCACCTCAATCCTTGACTCAACATGGCATATTTGCAATCCTAACCAAGGCATACCAAAGAGCATATTATTGTGTTTAAATCAATCCAAAACTAATGATAATACTCTCTAAAGGAGAAACACTAGAACGATGCACATTGTGCTATTATCTCTTGATAGACAACCCATTTTATCCAATATTCAGTATTAAGACGACCACAGCATCAGCTCAGCATGAAAATGTCACCAACGATGAGATAAAATGAGATTTGCTATAATTGGGTGCTTAGCAACTTTAATTTGCCGCCTAGGAAAGGATTGTTATGATGCTTTACACTTAATATGACACCCCACTTTGGATGCAAGAAGTAACATCCAGTCTGATGTTATTGTACTCGCACCGACAGTTAATAGTAATTTTTAATCATGGTTCAAAGTCACGGTATCGGTCATCAACTCGGAGGGCACTGATACACATCGGTCGCGGCGTCGCGGTGCAGTATCGGCTGATACGCTCAAAAAGCTAGATAGAAGTTCTAAAAAAATCATAAAAAATTTTAAAAAATATAAACATCATCATTCATGTATCATATGCCCACAATAAATCCAAAAACACATTCAACATAATTAAAATGAAACATAAGGGATCTAAGTAATATATGTTTATAAATTTTAGGAGTCTGAATGTAATTTATTAACAGATATATTTATATTGCGTATAATTTTAGGGGTTTGTGTGTAATATTTTAAATATTAGGGATCTAAGTGATTAAGTGACAAACTTTAAAGGATATAAACATAATTATCCCAAATACAATTGAGTCACTGGAAACCAGAGTCTTTAAAAGCCTCTGTTTGAACTTCGGTCTTTCAGAGACGCTGTGTATCGATCGATCGATCGATCTCGAGTGAGAGAAGAATCTGAAAGTGGATTTGAAGAATCCACCGGTGATCACCGGAAGACGGCTAGGGCTGGAGCTGTTGTCTCTGTTACTACGAAGAAGTCATCGTTCGATCGTCATCTGCTACTCGAGTAGTCATCGTTCGATCGTCATCTACTACTGCGAAGTAGATGGAATAGTCTCTGCTAGCCGGGTCCTCTGTCATCGTTCGATCGTCTCTGCTACCTGGGTCCTCTGCAAAGTCAATCAATGATGCTGGTCCTCTTCTACTGCGAAGAAAAAGGAACAAATAGTAGGAAAGTCTCTCAGATTAAGGAGATTTACTACAATTTTTCAGGTTTGTGTTCAAATTTGATCTCACTTTATTGTTCTGTTTTTATTATGGTGGGTCTAATTTGTGATTCAATTTTTCTTCTTTTCTTGCTTTTTTTTTGGCATTTTTTCTGTTGCCTAAAAGTGGGTGGACGATTCGGTGGGTATCGTTTGATTCAGAGGTGAATCGACCGAGTTGAACCGAGTTGAATCTGAGTTTGTCCGAGTTAGACCAAGTCAGAACCGATTCATGGCAGACTCGTTATAGTCTTTAATCATGTATCGTTATCGGATCGGTGGCTGCCGAAACGGATACGACTCGGCCGATACTTTGAACCTTGTTTTCAATGCCCTTCTTTTCAGGGAAAATATGAAAAAATAAAATATTCTTTCCGAAACAATCTTATAAAGTAAAAGGAAATGGCAAAAACTTACTGCACAATGTTGGATAACATAAACCAAGGAATTACACAAATATAGGGATGAACAAAACTGAAGCATATTTCAATTGGAAAGGTGAGAACAATTTACCCTCTGAGTTGATACAGAGCGCTTATCTTTTGTACCAGCAAATCCAAATGACTTCATCTGCCAGATAAAACATGATTCAAGTTCATGGCAGTATAATGAATAGAAAAATAGCTTATACCACTAACCGCAGTTCAATCCATGAATTACATCAAATGCATAGTCGAGGCTGCTGGTATACAGACAATGATACCGAAAGAGGCTTTATGCACAAAGAGGCCTTATGCATGAAGGGGAGTTAAGAAGATCACAGCTCCACATCACTAATAATTTTCAAAGACCAAAAGCCTTTGCAATAACGACCGTTTTAATTTTTTTTTTGCAATGACTTTATGTAACCTTCTTAAACAAAAGAAAAAAGAATGGGCCAAAAAAACATAAATATAGCCAATTGAAAATTTAGAAGGAGGTCTATGTTCCATTGTCAAAGCATCAAGTGTAACAAAACCAAAACATTCATGAACAAGTAACCTATACCTGAATGCCCAGCATCTTTCCAATAAGTCCCAAGGCTTCCTGGGTGTCTTTGTTCTCCTTGTAAAGATGAAACCTGAATTCCAACAAACACCACATAAGCCTATTTACCAAATTAGATGTTGGGAATAATAACTCCTAATTTATGGTTCTTCCTACAACCAATTTATGGTTCTTCTAGAACCAGTCCCTTCATAGTATATATGAGTTGCCTCCTAGAGATAGGACACTGAAATTAAGCTGGTTTCTCCTGGTACAAGTGTCCATTTCTACAATTTTTTTGAGTAAAGTTGTTGCATAAGTTCCACCAATCCTTATTGTCATAACAAAAAGTAAGCTTTTACTAAAAACACGATCTGATACTGAGACAAGACTTGGTAGAGTTGAGTGATTGTAGATAAACAAATAAGGTATGGTAAAAATAGAAGTCAACAGGAGAAGCATACAATTCCCACCCAAAAATGTGCACAAACAAGTCATAATGAGATGTATGCTTCAATTTCAGTGACAACACGTTTATACGATTGAGTAAGTGGAATGTCATGAAGTGCTTGAATTCTCCAGAAAGGGAGAGAACAGAAGAATTGTAAATTCCAATCTGTGCTCATTTTTACTTATGATAATAGTTTTATTTTTATATTCTATTGCATTTTAAACTTAAAAGCCTTTCCCTTCCTGATAAATTTTCTCATATCAACGCACAGGACAATCCTTGTTTAATTAACATGTTAGACCAAGTAACTGGTCCCAAGTATACGGGGTTAGTACGATAAGTGGTGAAGAGATGATAAATTGTTAGGAAACCTTCTCTAAATGTAACGATATGATAACAAACACAAAATTTTAGGGACACAAAAGAACTGAAAAACATAAAAAGAGAAAAGAAAAGAGGCACCACTTGAAGTTACCTCAGGAACTTGCCCAGACGTTCTGGCCAACTGTCCGAACCTCTACTGTCATATGGCATCTCACACCTCTCTTTCCGTTTCTTTGAGTTTCTACCTCTGCCATTATTCCCTCCTGAATTTAACCTCACGCGAATGCATTTTGATGAGGGGTCTGGTCCATCTATGGTGTCAGTAACAAGAAACTTAAGTTTCTCCTTGAAAAAATTATGCATTGCCTGAAAAGCATTCATTATTAAAATTATACAACCAATAATGCAAGACTCTACATGGATACTAAATTGAATGGATCACATAAGATGAACTTCTCTATTAAGTACTAACCGTCCGATGCAACTTATCAGAACTTGGAGAAATCACAATGGGTTCAACATTGTCCTCAATGGCAGAACTAATCTGTTCTATAAAAGCTTTGAGAGAATCAGCATCTGAATCACCAGCCAAAGTTCTAAATAATTCAATTTCAGTGTCATAGCTTTTGTTAGGTTGATCAGATATCTTTGTTTCTTTTTCTTCAACAATCTGAAGGAATGTAAATATAGCAAAATTATCAGTAAACCATCTAGAACTACAGAAAACATACTGACTATAGAAGAAACTTTGAGACCTAAATACCTCAGGTGCAGCATCTAGAGACGTCAAATGAACCACGTTGCCATCCAAATCCACTTCATTTACTATAAAATCAGAATACCTAAAAATACAAAATAGAAAATTGATTATAGTAATCAAATAAAAGTTCACACCAATTTTTACAGATTTAAAAAATAAAAATTATTGGGCATTAGGCTTTATGCATTTTAAACCACATATAAAAAGGATCCACGATTAGAATGCCAAACTAAACAAAAAAAACAAAGAAAGAAAATGTATCATAGGAACATGGAACGTAATGTCAGGAATGGTAAGTGCTACTCGGTTTGGTCCCATTATCGATGTTGCGGGTAGAACATTTTACAATAAGAAATTCAAAGCTTTCTGCGGATAAGAAAGAAAACTGAGGACTAAACCTTATATACATTTTGCTTGCGTATTTATTTGTGTGCGCGCTTTAGAGAGATACCTCTGCTTAAGAATGCCTTGGAAACCAGGGAGCTGAGAGACGTAGCAGACGATTCCTACATCAGATTCTTCAATGCTTTTCATGGCTCCTGTCCTGTGTTTGTAAATTCAGGAATAGGGTTTTAGAGACAACTGATTATAGGGCTTTATTCGCTGATACGAGTGCCTGGTCACACAATTTAGTTGAGAATTAGGAAAAAAATATTGGATATAAATTAGGAGTGGGTCCCATAACCCACCAACCCGTTCAATTCACCCATTAATAAAATGGGTTGTGTATCGGGTTGGGTATTATTATTTGATTTCATTTTATGGGTTTAAATTGGGTACCCATCGGGTTTCCCTTCTTGAAAACAACCGAGAGTCTGAGGGCACTCAAATTCTCCGCCAGATTTATATCGATCTTTGTAGAAACATAGAGAAAACTCAGGAAAGAGTCGTCTGATCGAAGCTGGACTTGTATTCGCAGTGTCGAACATCACAGTCCGTTGCGATTGAAGGAGTGAGAACGAGTAAGAAACGTTGTAATGAGTTCGTTGGGTTAAGGCCTGGGATGAGTATGGCTTTGGTGTCGCAGAAAGAGAGGATAGAGAAGTAAACATCGTCGCCACCATTTCCGGTGACCGCGAGGTTGGAGACTAGGACTGTGGCTCACTGAGAGCCCCCGAGCTTTCGAGGAGAAGATAAGGCGGACAGTCGAAAAATGTGAAAAATTTCAGATAAACTCCTTGGATTTTCTGTAATATAACAATTTCTCTATGTGAAAATTGCAGATAGTCCCCCCTATGTTTTCTGTAATATAACAATTAGTTTGTGTGGAATTTCAATTGTTAATAATCCGTACAGAGTTTTAAAATTACAGTTAGTACCTCTCACATCAGGATCCGGATCCTCTAATACATTTTTGTTGAATTGCCCGAATGATGTATAGGCATTGGTGTGTTATAGTTTGAATTGACGCTACCTCTTTCCTGTTTATGGCATACTTGTTGGAGGGCAGCACTCCAATTTTAATGTCATAATATTTAGTTTTTTCGCATGTTCTGTTATCTATGTAGGAAATCACAATATAATTATCCCTTTAACTTTGTGGAAAATAAAGGAATTAGAGAGTTGCATAATTTCTTAAATCCGAAGGTTTAATTTAGGAATTATAGTATATTTAATTTTTTTATTTTTTTAGGATGAAGAAGGCTTGTCGAAGAGGGAAGTGAAGTTTGGCATAATATTTGACAATGAGTAGCATTGTTTGCTTTTAGATTCTGCAATGTTCTTTAGACACTTGTTCTAATGTTTGGTTGAGCATGTGTTCCATTTGCTCGACCCAACTTGTGAGAATTAAATGATAAGCGAACATGGTCCTATGGTTATGTGTACCTTTTTTGAATTATTTCTTGTTATGATGAATGATTGTTGTTAAATTATTGGTAATAGAATATGTTATGTGTATATTTTTTGAGTTATTAGAGTGTATTTTTTTTGGTGTAATAATGTGTGTATGTGTGTCAAAATGAGGGTGTGTATATTTGATTACTTAGTATGTGTATTTTTTTATTGATTAGTGCTTATATATTTTTTGGTGTAATAGTTTATGTGTTTTTTTGGTGTAATAGTGTATTTGTGTTTATCTTGATATAATAGTGTGTATGTGTGTGTATTTTGGTGTAGTAATGTGTGTATTTTGATGTGATAGTGTGTGTGTGTATTTTGGTGTAGTAATATGTGTATTTTGATGTAGTAGTGTGTGTGTTTATTTTGGTGTAATAGTGTATGTATTTTGGTGTGGTAGTGTGTTTGTTTTTTTTAGTGTAATAGTGTGTGTGTGTTTATTTTGGTATAGTAGTATATGTCTATTAAGAGTTTTAATTTTCTTCTTAGGTGTTTGGAGGACGATCCCTAGGCCCAATAGAATTTCAAAAAAAATTCACTCGCCAATTTTTTTTGAATTAGGTCCTTATTGAAAATTCAAAGCAATTAACATAACTAAAACTCTTTCCAATTGCAAAAAAATAACGATAATGTCATCACCTAATTTAAACACTTATTCTAAAAAATTACGTACATTTTTTCCACAAACACAAATTGAAAAGTAGGTACACTAAAAACATAAAAAATAATAACAGGTACACAATAAAAAAATACCAAAAAAAGCCACCTAATAAAACAAAAAATAGGTACACAATAAAAAATAAAAATAAAATAATAGGTACGCAATAAAAAAAACAAGTAAGAAATAAAAATAATAATAGGTACACAATAAAAAATAAAAAAGTAACGCGTACACAATAAAATAAATAACAAGTAGGGAATAAAAAATAATAAAAAATAACAAGTACACAATAAAAAAAAACATGTACGCAATAAAAAATAAAAAGAATAACAAGTACGCAATAAAAAAAATAAAAAGTACACAATAAAAAAAATAAGGTACGCAATAAAAAATAACAGATATGCAATAAAAAATAATATGTACACAATAAAAAAATAACTGGTACACAAGATATACCTGAGTTGGCAAGTCTAGTTTAGAAGAAACCCACAAATCAAAAGAAAGAAGAGCGCAAAGCAAATTAAAAGAAAAACCTAGAAAAACTACTTCCCAACCTATCGCTTCTTTCCAAAATCAAACCAAACTGAGAGGAAGGATGACACAAGGTTTCTAATCGAATTGATCTTCCTCGTCATCGTCCAAGGATTTGATGAATTCCCATGAAGATAAGTCACCGACTTCAACTTCTATGGCTTCATATGCACTGAACAGATTTCCAATTTGATCCAATTCACATTCAACTCGAAAACTCATGTGATCACCGAGAAGAAATAGATTTAGTGACCGTAGAGGTTGTTGCGAGCGAAAGAAATGGAGATCTGCTTGTTTTTTGTTAAGAATGAATAGAAGAAGGGGATCGTAATGTCTTCTATTTTATCTCACTCGTATCTCTCATATTTAGGCTAAAATCATGTGATGAGGAAAAAATATGTAATAAATATACAATAGCTGCCCAACCCCACCAATCTAGGGACTGCATACAATATTTTTTAAAAAAATGGAGGACCTTTTTAATACTAAAAAATTGATAGGACTAAAATTGATTTACACACTAAAAGATGGACACTAGCCTAATTAACTAATTATTTTATGGGTTTAACACATCTCATTATAATCCATTTAATACATGAGTGAAAAATGGATTGGATTTATCTTAAACTCAATCCATAACTATCTCAAACCACCCATTTGTCACCTCTAGATGTAACCAATTAAGAAAAAATATTGGACGCAACTGTGATACCACATATATAACATTGATGATGTAGTATCACCAACTAGTGAAGAATAACATGTGGATTTAGTAGATTCCATTGTTTTACTAATTATCAACAACTACTTTTGTCATGTTCGAATATTGGAGTTCACCAATCTTATTTATTGGTTTATAATTAATTGGTGATACCATGTGATAATGATAGAGTGTTACCGTTACAAGGCCGACCCTAAACATAGGCCACTTTGGTAGCTGCCTAAGGCCCCAATATTTTAGCTCTCCAAATATCTTGAGTTGAAGGCCTTTTGTAATAGAGTAGTTTAAACTCGAATGACCCAATGAAATGACAAAACCTAGACCAAAAACTAAAACTAAGAGATTCCTATCGGGCTACCATTATATTACACAATATCCCATGTAGAAAGGAAGGCCCAACAACTATTTTATTATTTTTAGTAATTTCTCAGACAATCAGGCTGAGTCTCTTTCAATATGTCAAACATCTGATGAAAATAATGTGTCAGACACACATAAGCTCTCTCTCTCTCTCTTTCTCTCACATACACACACATGCGTATACAGTGCAAGTGATTGTTAATATGAAAAAGAAATAACTGGAGCACTAAAAAAAAACATTATCAACAAGAAAAATATTCTTAAATAGAGATCATACTATTCCTTTAATCCAATATAGGTTTAAAATAGTAAAAATAGATACAATGTTTTTTACTCTTAATTTAGTTTTAGAAGATTAAATTCTTTATGTGATGAAAGTTTTGAAAAAAATATGGTCTTAACCTTGAATTTTACGTGACTTATTTTATAGTTTAATTTATTTTTAGGATTAAAAGTCCTAAGAAACTTCAAATGTAGAAACTATACATGGGATTACCGATATAACAATATATAAAATGACTAGATTCTTTTTCAAATGTCTCCATTACTTATTGAATACTGTAAATAATGTCATTAAGAGATTATTCTACTTGAAGAACGTTTTTTGAATTATAAATTGATAACATTTTATCTACTATCAATTATGTTATCAGAAAAAGTGAAGAGATTAGGTATAGTATTTATTGAAAATTGCATATTAGTAAAATATCTAATTCTTGAAAATAGAAGATAGAAGAGGGAAGAAGAAGGTCTCTATGGATTGGGCTTTGCTTGGGATTCTAGGAACGTGGCTTAGAATTCTTGGTTCCTTTGTAGGATTTTCCTATCTCTTGCATTTACATTGTGCATCTCATTTATTTTCTTTATGTAAACCTTAATATGTGTTGGATGGTTAAATACTTGTGACAAAGATTGATTTAATATTAGGTATGCCATGAATATGTGAACCTACATGCATAACGGTGGTTTTGGTGTTGTGGGTTTGAAACCCTAGTTTGATTTTGGTTACGGGTACTTAATTAAACCCATGATTTTGGTTTTTAGAGTATGTTATGATCTTGAACATAATGTATATGATTTATTCTCTTGAAAATTTTGAGTTGCTTTTGAAAATTCAAATATTGATATTTTATGACTACTAAATGTTTGATTAAATGTCAAGGTTGTGTATAGGTTTTCAAAATCGTTTATGGTTATGGAAAAATGATGATGTAGGGAAAATGTATGCTCGATATAGATAGACAAAAGGTTTGTAAGCAGTTGGGGCCCTATTTAGGGGTTGTCAATGTGGCTACTAGTACTAGGGGAGATTGGTGATTGATAGTGGCTTTCCCGTAAAATGGAATGTGTGGCGTTAAAAGTTATGTCCTACCTGTCCTCCTTGAAAAACAAGAATGATGATGAGACCCAAGGGTGCAAGATTCCAAAGTTTTTCAGGGATGGTTCATGCGTGGACAGGATGTTGATTGATATATTTGTCTAATTGTGAGGCATACATGTGAATTTGAGTGTTAGAGACCAACAATCTAATAATCCAACAAACCTTTTAAATGAGGTGAGGTTGAGACAAAAGTACATGGAATATAATATTGTTTGGAAAAGAACCTGAAAGAGCCTACGTTTATGAAATTGTGTTCAAGAAGTGAAATGATAACTTTACTAGATTTATTATCCTACTGTGTGTGTAATATTTGGGAAATTCTAGTTTTATTGGGTGTTCTTACATACATGCTTAATTCTCTACTTGCAACTATATTTTGTTTATGAAACTTCTATATTACTTGTATATACAATTGTGAAGCTCTTGTATTTAAAACCTTGTAAATGTTTGAGGGAGGATTATTCTACTGAACGTGTGGTTGCTCACCTCTATCATTTAAAATTTTAGAGACAGACGCACACCTTAGGCATGAGTTGGTGGATTTCTTCGTGAGAGCTTTTTACTGGTAGAA